TTCATTTAAGGGGACGACATCGATCTCCCACCTGTCATCATACGCCTTTTCAGGGGTAATGTGGATGGCAACCTTCAATTGTGCCAAATCTTCTGGAGAGCTATATATTGAGATAATATCCAGAACAGTATCCGCTACCCAGCTCAGGGATTCTTCATCCCGAAGATTACGCTTAACCGGGGATTCTTCAGGATCAACCTGTAGCGCTTTTTTCTTCTCCTCAAGATTAATCTGTAGTGCTTTTTTCTTCGTACCAGGATTCAGCTTTTGCTTTTTCTTGTCACCAGCACCGCGCCTTGCCATGATTTATTTAATTTTAGGCGAAACGAAATCTGATTCAGAAGAGGAGGAATCAGTAGAGACAAACAAAGAAAAAGAGACAAACAAAGAAAAAGAGAAAACAAATGCAGATTTATAATAATCGAAATTTCATTTCTTATAGGGATACCCCGCCGGATATATCATGTTTAAGGGCAAGGGGCTTGGACTCCTTTTACTAGGATGATTGTTGCGAAAAATTGGCAAGTGTACCGATCGCACAAGTAATATAATAGTAAGTAAAGTATCGTCTCCACAGGGATTGGGTCGAATATCAATTAATTGTTCCTTTTAAGAATGGATGAACAAGAGTTGGTTTGAAAGTAATGGTGTTTGTAACAATTGTGAACTATTCAATAATTTATGAACAATTCATAGAGAAATTTGAAGAATTTAAAATAAAAGGTTTTTGAGAAAAATATTGTAAAAAGCTATTGCAGTAGAGGACTCCAACACCTTTCCGATCCCCACCTTGTAATATTGATTAATGTTTATATTTAATTACCCAATTGATCAAACAATTCACCATCTAATAATTAATTAGTTAAGCCCTAATCCCTTAGTGATCTTAACTTTATTAACCCTATTAGAATCCTAATCCCTTAGAAATCCTTTTTCAAGTTAATCCTTTAACCCAGTGAATTTTCCACGTTTGCAGCTCATGTAGCCTATCCCTAGTGCATACATGAACTGTTATTTTACCCTTTGTCAGGAATTAGAATTCCAATATTTCTATTGTAAACCCTAACCCTCGCAATCCTAATAGAGTGATCAGTTCTAGAAGCATTAGAAGATGAAAAACAAGGTAAAATAAATGCAATTAAAATAATTAAATATAAAAATTAACCAAACTACAAGGGGTTCACATCAAGGGTTGTGACCCTTACCATTTAAATAATGAGAAAGAGTTCATGAAAATGTAAAACCGGAAGAAGAAGAAGTCTTGAATCTTCAGTCACCGAGAGCTTCCTCTTCAATTTCTCCTTGCCAAAAGATGATTTTCTTTTAGAGTTTCTGCTTCCTTTATATAGCCAGCAACTCAATCAGGTCATAATCCTTGAATTAATTCTGATTAAATTTCCATTTTTCTCATAATTCCACCAATCAATTAGGTCATAATCCTCTCATTAATTTGATTAAATTTCCATTTTCATCAAACTCCACAAATCAAGGAATGCATTCATGACGCCCACGCGATCATTGCCAAATTCGCGACTCCACAAATCAAGGACTGCATTCATGACACCTGCGCGATCAGCGCCAAATCCGCGCGGACAAACAGAAAGTAATTTGCCAAAATCACGCGGATCGCGCCATTTTCGCGCGTTTTGCGCGAGACTATGCAATTTCAATTTCTCTCTTTCACTTCTTTTTTGGTGTTTCCTGCTATCAAAATGCATAAATTGAGTGAGAGAATGATTGAGAAGGAATAATCAATATTTCTTGCATTTATGAGCTTATTTTCACACATTTATGATTAATTCCTTGCTTCTTTTACTTAGAAATCACCATATGTTAGACGGATATCAATGATCTCGTACGATGGAAGGAGAAGTATTGCGCGAAGAGGTTGAAAAGGAAGACTCAGGGTTTACGGTATTAACAGACCTATGACTACAATCAGAACTCGAAGCAGAGTCACTCGAAATCAAAATGGGACTAGTCATTCTAAAAGAAACTTTGGGAAAAAGAGATGAACTTTGTTGAGAAAGAGTTTTTGAGTTATCGCGATTAGGTTTTCGCGAAGACGAACCAACTTCAAATTGTCGAACAGAAGGCGTACGATTATCATTTACAAATACTTTTTTCCAGGGAGCAACACACTTGTCACTAAGCCATGCTTCCCCGGTTCCAAACGACCTCGACCTTGATAACGACCTAGGTGGGGGACTGGATGAGCCAGACCGCTCGGATAATCTGATAAAATTCACAAATTTGCGATTATCAGACATATCTCAAGCTAAAAGTAAAAATTAAAACAGATGAAGTAGTAAAAATGAGAAGTAAAATTGGACGAAGGGTGTACCTGAGATTTATACTTCAGATGAATCAACAACGAATAGGACATGTCAACACCGGAAGAGCAAAGGAAGCAAACAGATGTAGAGGAAAGAAGGATCTTTTACAGTCACAATGAATGTTATCCCTCCAAACCAAATAGCTCGGTACAAATATGAAAGCTTTACCAAACGGATATCCAAAAAGTAAAAATGTGTTGAGTAAAACGGATTAAAAGGGACACGTGGGAGGAAGGCAAAATGTTTGCACTTCAAAAACAGCTCACGCTTGCCATTAAACACCCACGTAATTACGGTAGCATTTAATGATTCTGACAGTTAACATCTAATCAACCATTTTTATGCGGCTAAGTCATGATGATCCTTCAAACATGGCTATTGCAGCAACAAATAATCACGCCCAAAAGATCTATCGCGCACAAATACATGTATGTACCTCATAGCTTTGCCACATATCAAAATTGCGAGCTATAGGGAAACTGATATGGATAAAATATAGTAGGCCCATTGGAGGCCCAAAGACATACAACGAAGCCCAATCTCACAAAGGCCCGGAACTAGGCGCGATGGCCACCATCGCGCATAACGTGACGCGATGCACCCATCGCGCATGAAACCGCCCAATTGCATAACTTCAGGAGTAAGGAAGTTATCTCAAGAACTAATACGAACCCACCGCGCCTTTATACTAATAAACAAAGGACAACACCAGCTCGCCGCTATCCTATCAATGTAGCTTGGCATTAAGAGATAAGGCTATTAAGGCTTTAGCCAAACCTGCAGCCAAGAAGCGGCCAATTAGAGGCCATACCGCCTTCAGAAGGCGGCATCAGAACCACTATATAAACAGAGTGTACAGGTTTTATCATCTAATTTAGTAAGAATACACATACACTTGCCTCTGATACTGACTTAAGCATCTGAGTGTCATTGCAGGTACCTCCCATCCGGTTTCAACTATAGCGCCAATAAAGGACTAGAGGCCTCACATCGTCATCAACAACCACCAGCCCAAGAAGCAGAACAACTTCTTCACTTCAACCGTGTGTGATTAGGCCCAGTATACATTGGCCTGTCCATATTGGACCAATAAAATAAAATAACCGAACCGATCAAATAACCAATTCACCGAATTCCAAGTTGATCTAGCCTATCCGGACCCATTTTTACAACATTGGACACAAGACTCTATGGGAAGCATATGTCACTTTGCAGAATATGCATTGAGGTGCTTAGTTGATTTCAACCTGAGTAGATTGGTCACTAATCAGATCAATGATCTATAAATTACAAAATTTTATATGTAAGAAAGTACTTGTGAAAATATATAATTTAATTAAAAAAATTCTGAATGACCACTTAATCATTTCTAAGATCATACACAATAGTTTATTTAACTTCATAATCGATGAATAGAGATTAAAAAATTCCTTTATTTATTAATAAGCCAATATTCAATAACCATCAACTTACCCATTTGACAAGTCTTTTTTTAGTTGTTTAATTTTTTTTTTTTTTTAAAATAAAAGCTTACCCAAATATATATTTATGAAAGCTCTTATCATAAAATTAATTTTTTATAATAAATTAAAAAATAAAAAATTCTTAAGAGGAATTTTTTAAAGATGTATATCAAATTTTGAAAAATAATTTCAAAGTATTTTTTTTTTAATTTGATTTTTTAAATAAGTTTAAATTAAAAAAATACCCAATAATTTTTTATTTTTGATAATGTACCCATATATTTTTAACTTTAGTTAAAAGTAAATTTTAACTAATAAAAACCAATGAAACCACGGTTAGTGCATAAAAAAATGGAGAGTATATTTCTTATATTATATTAGATAAAAATTATCTCGTGTCATACGTACACAAAAAAGAAATGAATAAAAATCCATTAAAAAAAAGAAAAAGAAGAAAAGATGGTGCATCTCACTTCTTTTTTCTTTTTACATGCATACACATTGAGAAATACATTTGCAATGTTATAAAAATTGGATCGGCCCGGTCGGGTCGACTCGAAAATCGGTGAACTAGTTATGTAGTCAGTCCGATTTTCATATTGGACCAGTCATGTTACAGAATTGATGTGACTCGGTACGACCTGACCGGTTTTCGTAAAAATTGGTGACCCGGTCGGTTCAACCGATGACCCGACCCGGTCTATAAAAAAATTAATTTATTTTTATAAATTAATGTCTTCTTTTGAAATATTTGAGTGATTTGTAGCTTATTAACTTACATAGATTATGTACCTACAACACTAATATTATCTTGATTATGCAATATGCAAGAAATTTTGATTTGATTTATAGTTAGAGATGTCGTTTATATGTTTGATTTACTGAACCTGAAACATTAGTATCACAAATATTATATGATTGATTGATCTTTTGTTGGACAATGATGTGTAATTTATTATTTTCATATTAAAATATTTAAAATTGGTATATTTTTTTACAAGTATTTAAGTAAGTATATTTATTTTTTTTAATATAAATTATAAATTTACATATCTTGCCGAGTCATGCGATTATACCAACCGGGTCAATACCGGAGCCGGATTTAATATCATTGTATATTCCAATTAAAAATAACAACAAACTTTATTATATATAGTGTTTTGATCTTTTGTGTAAGTTGCGTTATCTTTTATTCACCGAGAGAGAAAGCAACAAGTTTTTGCAGTCCCAGAAGCAGGTGCCAAGCAGGTAGAGGTTGTCTGAAGACATTGCTCCATTTTGTCAACCCTGAAGGAAGAATAGGGTCACTCCACCCTCGGTTGTTTCAAGTTTCAACTGCGTGATTTTCAGCATTTCTTGTAACTTTCCTTTATCCTTTCTGAATTTTCCCATATGGGTGTTTGTTGTTTTTCTCAGCAACTTGGCACCTTTTACACAGGTGGTGTCTTTTTGTTTCTCATGTTTCATTTTGCTGCTACCAATCACTCTTATAGTTTAAACCTTTTATGGGCTTTGTAAGTGGTGTCTCTCTCTTTATTTTCTTGCCATTTCAATTTTGAACCCATTAGTCCTCAACTTGCTTACCCAATTTCAAATTTTAGTATAATGGGACAACTTTATAGAGACGATGGGTTGTGCAGCATTTAACAAAGATGTAATCTTTGGTGTCTTTTTGCACTCTTCTTTTGACTTACTTGGCTTATGGTTCACCATTATGTTAGGGGTAATCTGACAGGCATTGTTAAGATGCTAAGTTCATGAGCATGACAAATGTTTGTTTAAATGCTTAAATGATTACAATCTCAGACCCACATTTCTTTCTGTTTTGTGAACATTGTTACCTGTGCTTTGCCATGTGATTCCTTTGGTCATGACCTGTTCAATTGAATTCTCTTGTCTATATGTTGTTGGCCCATGTGGGAGAAGGCATGTGCTTGGGTTTAGGGTAGAGGTGGGCATCAGTTTTGTAGTGAAGATGCTGTCATCAAGTTCTATTTTCCATTGCATTGTTGTTCATCTAGGATGTGGAAAATTCACTCAGATGTGAGAATTGTATCATAGTTGCATCAAATCTACTGTTTGGGTTATAATGGTTGTTTTCTGTAATGCAATCAACTGCTAAATAATGGATTGGTATGCTTATGTAAATGCTAGGGAAAAAGTAGTAATGGCATCCTGTTTCTTCAATCCTATCCCTACTAGCTGTCATGTCATTTCAGCAGATTTATCTAGAAAATTCAAGATTCCAAAGCTTCTTCACAGGGTAAATTTCTTGGACTGATGTATTTTTGATTGATTTCCCTTTTAAATTATGGTAATTTCTTTAGCTTCATTTTAGGATAATATACAATAAACATTAACATTTGTTACACTTAAGACAAACTGTCTGCATCTATTAAACGTATTTAATTTTTGTTTAGGACATAATATATTATTGCATTGAGCGATCTGGATCTTCTACATAAAAATTCTTGAACTATTATTTCTTTTTCATAGAAATGGAAACAAATAAGTTTACAAGGTTATGACCTAGAATTGCAAAGTTGCCATTGACTTGGTTGGGTTTCAAGTATTGAAATACATAACAATTTTAAAAGTAAAACAAAATACAAGATTTGATCCTAACAAGGAAAGTAAATGACTAATAGGCACTAAGTTGGAAATAGTGTGGCTCTGTAGTGTTGGTTGCTTCAAGATTAAGTGTGTGCTGTCAGTTCTCTATATTTTCTTGTTTAATGGGTTCATGACAACATGGAGTGGCTATTGGGATATCATCATTCCTTAACATAGAAAATTGTGGAGAGTAATTGAAGTTTTACTTCTATAGCACTTGAGCAAGTTAAATGAATTTCAATAACTGCCATTGACTGCTTTTTTATAGATGAAATTGATTTTATATCATTCCTGTTCCTGATTCTTATGGGAAATTTCTTCTCTATTGCAACTTCCGTTCTGATTTGTGCTGATGTGTTTCCCCTCAATTGCATTTAAGCAGAAAAAGAGGTTTGATGGTTCACCCAGATCTTCAAAAGTTACTTCATTTTATGGCTTGAAGACCCCTCCTTATGAACTTGTAAGTGAATCACTTAGTTACCTGAATCCATGTTTTTGTTTGGCAATTATTATTGCTTGTGGCTATAAGCTTGGAGTAGTTGAGTCAGCTACTGCAGCAATAAGCGTATCAGAGAAGCGATTGCATCAATTGCATTCCTGAGTTAAAATGGCATATCTAATTTTGTTTAAGCTAATTAGAATTATTTCCATTTTAGCCATTATAATGATCTAGAAAGAAATTAAAATTGAGAAAAACATTAGTAATTTTTAAAGGGATGTCTATAAGGTTATCTTTATGATGAACTAACCTTCAATGAACTCTAAAATGTAACTTACATTTTTGAAAGAAAAAAAACTATTTAAAAATTTATTTCTCTTAGATAAAATATTTTTCTGATTATTTTTATTTCAACCATCTTGTCAATTGGAAAAGAGTTATGCCTTCTGTGGGAATATTTAGAAATTATCTTATAATATCTTTATTGTATCGTATATTTTAGAGTATCTTTAATGATCTTTTAGGAATTGTTTTCAGATTTCATTACAATTCCAGATTTATTTTCTTATTTGATTAGGATTAAGAATCTGGTACTAGTATAAATAGGGGTTAGTGTTTTGTCTTTTTGTATCACATCATTATACACCAATATTAATATAATCTTATTGTTCTTAGTATTCCTCTCCTCTCTTTTCCTCCTTCCCTACCTAAGTCCTATAATTTCAACACCTACAATTTTTTTAAAGTTATCTATCATGGATAAAAATGGAGAGAGGAGGTGACAACTAATTATAACTTTCCAAGGAAGGGATAGTGTCTAGAAGTAACAAAGTTACCATTCATTGTGTAATCCAACACCATGTTAGAATTTTATGAGACTAAGAGCCGATATGATAAACTGATAATCAAGAATCCTAGAATCCTTTTGTGGCTCTTATTAAATGGATGCTCAATTACCCTATAAGGAAACTGTTAAGATATATAATCCCACATTGGTTGTATGTGCAACTAATGTGGAGTTTGTAAGGCCTTGGGCACTCCTACCCTTTGAGCTAGCTTTTGGGGTGGTGTATCCCAAGGTTCTTTACATGGTATCAGAGCCTCGCCGCCCCCACTTTCTCTTGTGGCGTTTCTTAGCACAGGTAGGCTGGGCCTGTTGCATTGTCCACTCCTCAAGCCCAAAGGGCTTTCGTGTGAGGGGGCGTGTTGAGATATATAATCCCACATTGGTTGTATGTGCAACTAATGTGGAGTTTATAAGGCCTTGGGCACTCCCACCCTTTGAGCTAGCTTTTGGGGTGGTGTATCCCAAGGTTCTTTACAGAAACTTCCAACCTAAGGATCACACCCGAATTAGTTTTGTGAATTTGGGAGAGAATTCAAAGCCTCTTGAATTGTTTTTGTTTGTTTTTGTTTCATTCTTTTCTACAATTGCACACATGTGACTCTGATATCCTGTTGATATCAGTAGTACAAATCCATCTATCAGTTCTTATTCAATTTCCATCTCTATTCTTCTTGGTACCTTACATACCCACAACAGCCACTGTTAGGCCCTTATATCATAATTCTAACTTTATTTGCTGCTTCAATATTCTCAGGATGCGTTAGAGCCATATATGAGTAAGAGGACAATTGACATGCACTGGGGAGAACATCATCGGAATTTTATAGAAGGTTTGAACAAACAGCTGGAGAAGGATGATATCCTATATGGTTACACCTTGGATGAACTAGTCAAAGTGACATACAACAATGGCAATCCGTTACCTGAATTCAACAACGCCGCTGAGGTACTAATTATATTGGTAGCTAATTAGCTTTGATCATTTAATTTTGATCAAGACTTTGAAGCTGCTTGCTTGTTCATATAAAACTATTTATATTTATGTTATTTTATGTGCATATATACATGTTTGGCTATAATTTTATATTTTAGGTGGAATCTTATGAGCATTGTGATGATCATGCAATTTACAATCCTTCTCTCCCCTTCTGATCTTAGATAGGATCTTGATTTTAACTACCGTGCCGAGAGCAACTCTCCTCCTTCATCCTGGCTTGGGATACACTATGTAAACATCAATTGAATCTGAAATATATTGTATATTCAAGTATATGAGTCTGTACAAGGAGGCTCTCTAATTATAGAGACTAAAAGACCTAATGGGATGACCTAATGGGCCAAGCCCACAATCTAGACTATTCTAGACTATTCTAATAATAAATTAATATTATTTCTAATACTCCCCCTCAAGCTGGTGCGTATATATCAAAAGCTCCCAGCTTATTACAAATATGATCTATTCGGGGACCTCTAAGAGCTTTAGTGAATACATCTGCAAGTTGATCATTGGAATTGACAAATGCTGTCTCGATCTCCCTTGACTGGATCTTTTCTCTAACAAAATGACAATCAATTTCTATATGCTTGGTCCTCTCATGAAAGACTGGGTTAGAGGATATATGCAAAGCAGCTTGGTTGTCACAAATGAGCTTCATAGGCCTTTGTTCACAGAGATGGAGTTCCTTCAGCAATTGACTCAGCCAGATGAGCTCACAGGTTGCATTTGCCATTGCCCGATATTCTGCCTCCGCACTGGATCTGGCGACCACAGTTTGCTTCTTACTCTTCCAAGAGATCAAATTTCCTCCGAAGAGAACACAATACCCTGAGGTGGATCGTCTATCTGAAGGAGAACCTGCCCAGTCAGCGTCTGAATAACTAGAGATCTCTGAACTCCCTTTATTTGTATATAATAAACCTCTTCCTGGCGACTTTTTAATATATCGGAGAATTCTAATAACTGCATCCCAATGGGAGTCATAAGGAGAATCAAGAAATTGACTTGCAACACTCACTGCGAAGGAGATATCTGGCCTTGTCACAGTAAGATAATTCAATTTTCCAACTAGTCGGCGGTAGCGACTAGGATCTGGCAGTGGCTCCCCCTGTCCTAGTAATAACTTAACATTGGGGTCCATAGGTGTATCAATGGGTTTACAACCTAACATGCCAGTCTCATCTAGGATATCCAGTGCATACTTCCTCTGACAGATGGAAATGCCCCGCCTAGACTGTGCAACTTCGATCCCCAAGAAATATCGAAGTCTGCCAAGATCTTTGGTCTGAAATTGATTGAATAAATGCTTTTTCAACTGATCAATCCCGGTCTGATCACTGCCTGTAATGATAATGTCATCAACATAGACCAGGAGATAAATGCACTGGCCAGAAGAGTTATGCCGGTAAAAGACAGAATGATCGGCTTTGCTTCTGATTAATCCAAAGGATTCAACAACTGAACGAAAGCGGCTAAACCAGGCCCGAGGAGATTGCTTCAGGCCATATAAAGATTTCCGAAGTTTACATATCATTCAAGAACTCTCCCCCTGAGCAACAAAACCTGGTGGTTGCTCCATATAAACTTCCTCCTGCAAGTCACCATGTAGAAAAGCATTCTTAATATCAAGTTGGAGAAGGGGCTAGTGATGAATGGCGGCAAGGGCAAGAAACAGGCGAACAGAAGCCATCTTAGCAACAGGAGAAAAGGTATCCCCATAATCAAGACCAAAGATCTGTGTGTATCCCTTGGCCACTAAGCGAGCTTTAAGGCGATCAACAGTGCCATCAGGACCAACTTTAACTGTGAACACCCATCGACAACCAACAACAGACTTCCCGGGAGGAGCACGAACAAGATCCCAAGTGCCATTGGAGTGAAGTGCCTGCATTTCATCAAGCATCGCCTGGCGCCACCCTGGATGAGATAGTGCTTCACCTGTGGTTTTAGGGATGGAAACAGAAGAGATACTAGAAACAAAAGTAAAATGTTGTGAAGAAAGTCTGTCATAACTCAAGAAAGAATAAAGGGGATGAGGATTTCGAGTGGATCGAATACCTTTTCGAAGGGCAATGGGAGGAGTCTCTGATGGAGGATCCGGAGGAGAAGAGCCGACGGGAAGGGGCGATGAGTCATCAAGAGGCAAAGTCGGAGGAGGTGCAGGCTGACGACGCTGGTATGTGAGGAGAGGACGATCTGCAGGTATGGAGGTAATTGGTTGCTCCTCTGGAATAGGATCACCTGCAGCTGGTAAAGACAAATCAAGAAAAGGAACAGGAAGGACCTGATCAACTTGGGACACTGGAGACGGAGTAGAGTGAAAAGGCTGCTGATCAAGGAAAGTGACATCAGCAGAAACGATATAACGTTTGAGATCAGGAGAATAGCAACGATACCCTTTTTGAAAACGTGTATACCCAAGGAAAATACATTTGAAGGCCTTGGATGTCAACTTGTCTTTACCTGGAGTAAGATCATGAACAAAACAAGTACAGCCAAAAATATGTAAAGGCAGAGGATAAGAAGGTGCTCCGGAAAACAAAATACTGTGGGGAACATCATTATTTAGCACAGAAGAGGGCATGCGGTTGATAAGGAAACATGAGGTGATAATAGCATCTGCCCAAAAACGGAGTGGGACGTTCATATGAATGAGAAGGGTACGTGCAGTTTCAACTAGATGTCTATTTTTACGTTCAGCGACTCCATTTTGTTGTGGAGTGTGGGGACAGGTAGTCTGGTGTATCGTCCCTTGTGTATCCAGAAATTTAGAAAATTCAAGAGACACATACTCTTTTGCATTATCACTGCGCAAGATTTGAATAGAAGCACCAAATTGAGTTTTTATTTCTGCACAAAACTTTTGATAAATTGAAAATAACTCAGAACGATTTTTCATTAAATAAACCCAAGTGCAACGGGAGAAATCATCAATAAAGGTGACAAAATACTGAAAACCCAAAACAGACGTTCGACTCGGACCCCAAATATCAGAATGAACAATAGTAAAAGGAGCATCAGCTCTTTTATTGACTCTCTTAGCAATGGAGGAGCGAGTGTGTTTTCCTTGCTGACAAGAATGACAGTTTAAAGACTTAAGATTGGATAAAAAGGGAACCATATACTGAAGCTTGGAGAGGTTTGGATGACCCAGACGGCTGTGAATTAGCTCAGGAGACTCTGTGAGAGAACAGGCTACTGGAGAAGGTGGTGCAATCAGATAGTAGAGACCTCGTGACTCAACGCCTGCTCCAATCGTCTTCCCCGTACCCGAATCCTGCATAGAAAAGGATTGTTTAGAGAAGGTAATAGTACATGAATGAGAATGAATCAACTGGCTAACAGAGATTAAATTAAAAGGAATGCCAGGTATATAATAAACAGAACTCAAAGTTAAAAGAGGAGTTGGGTTGGCTTCCCCAATTCCACGAGCAGGAGCCTTAGTGCCATCAGCAAGAGTGACAGGGGGTAGGTTATTAGAATAAGAAAGTGAAGTGAAGAGATCTTTATTACCACAAAGATGATAAGTAGCACCTGAGTCTATTATCCAGGGTCCAAGAGATGATTGATAAAAACAAGCAACATGATTACCAGTGTCTTGAGTAGGATGCTGAGAAGAAACCTTCTTGAGAAGTGCCTCATAGTCGACACTTGAAAGAGTTACTAATCCAGTTGAAGGTGGCGTAACATCAGTTTGAGCAAAGTTGGCAGTCGGTGGCTTCAAATGAGGGTACTTCCTATAGCAGCGTTCTTCAAAATGCCCAAGATTCTGGCAATAATTGCAACGAGGCCTCTGTCTGCGGCCACGTCTGCGACTGCGTCCACTGTTCCAATTGGAATCACTGGCCCGAGAAAAGAATGGAGATGAGGTAGTACCGGAGATGATGCCAGTCGTGTTTTTGGACGCATTATTTGAGCCCTCCATCACAAAATAAAAGGAGATGACCAGAAAATAGCAAAGAACTACAAGAAAGCAAGAAATCGCGCAAAAACGTTGCACAAAAGTGTCCAAACAACGGGTTTTTCACTGATATCTTTCAAACGGATGGGACCCACAACGAACGGAGACCAGATCTGGAAACAGGGTGAGGAGGCGAGCAAGATGGTGGTGGTCCGGCCTGGAACGGTGGCCGGACGGTGGCTCACGCGCCGGAACAGTGGCTCGGCCGCCGGAGACTTCCACCGGCGCATGGCGGCGCGTGGATGCTCCGATCAACACGCGGCTTGGACAGACAGGGTCGCCTCCCTGAGCCGCTCCTGATCGCGTGGTGGTTGGTCGGAAAAGTCGCCGGAAAAGCAGTCTGACGGCAGTGAACAGTGGCGGACGGTGGTTTTGTGGCGGTTTCCGGCGATGAACGGAGGCTGACGATCTTTTTCCTGATGATACGAGGTTGAGGACAAGAAATTTGTGACTAAATAAGGGTTAGGTGTGAAAGGATGGTTGCCGGTATAATGCTCGGCAGTAAAAAGAAAGAGAAAGATATATATGCGGAAGCAGAGCCCTCAAATCGAGAGCTCTGATACCAAATTGAATCTGAAATATATTGTATATTCAAGTATATGAGTCTGTACAAGGAGGCTCTCTATTTATAGAGACTAAAAGACCTAATGGGATGACCTAATGGGCCAAGCCCACAATCTAGACTATTCTAGACTATTCTAATAATAAATTAATATTATTTCTAACAACATCCATAGGCAGAGTTGATGTTGATTGTAAATATTCTCTTACTATTTTTAGTTAATAAAGGTAGTAGTAATAGACAAACTAGTTAGCATTAAATTTTTTAGGCATATATGTTGTTTTCTTAATTGTCGCCTTGTCAGGGTAAAACTATATTTATTAGAATAAATTTAAATTTATTTTCCTAAACTTGGGAATTAGGTGCTCTTTTTAAATATTGGGAAATTACATAAAAATGATAAATAAATATATAACAAAAATAATT